CTTTAAGAGATGAGGTTACGTTCCAGTCAATGTTAAAGTCACCAAGTATGCAGACTTCCAAGCCTTCCGTGCAAGCTTTTTCAATAGACATGAGTAGTGAGTCTAAGTAGGCCATGTTGGAGTTTGGAGGTCTGTAGACTACTGCAGACAATATTGGATTGACAAATGGCAGGTGTACCTGAATCCAGAGCATCTCTACACCTTCCAAGGTAAGATCATGATGGAATGTTGTTTCTGATGTAGAGGGCCTCCCCTCCTCCGAAACTGTTTCTGTCAAGCCTGACGATGTCGTAGTTTGGAATACATACTTCCCCATCTCGGATACGTGCATCGAGGTGGGTTTCGCTGATACCGATAATGTGCACGTCGTTGCTACTAAGAAGGTATTACAAGTCTACGGTCTTGTTCCACAGGCTGCACACGTTTACATGGGCTAAATGTAGACCTTTCTTCTTCAGCGTGAGGTTCGGTACAGTCACGGAGATGGAACAGAATGTGTACAACCCAAAGACTAAAAAACCAATTGCGCGCCAGCTCATCCTGGGAGTGGGAGGGGGGTGCATTACGTGCCCTGTGTCCTAAGACTCAACTTAGCTGTCGTGCCTCCAGAAAACAAAAAATGAACTCAAAATGACGTGTAATCCTCTGTGCCAAGTCGAATGGAAGAATGACAGACCTTAAAGTACTCTCCCCACTGAGGATTGTGTCGGTTTTACATCCAAAGCGCTGGAGGTAACAAGGAGGGCGCCATGTTCCCTCGTCTATGTAACGTTGGTATCATTAGGTCAGTGATTGTCATTATATTCTAATTAACTCCAAATCCTTTTTCTAACCGCTAACTGCACTCCTGAAAATAATTTCTCTCAAGAATTGTCCAGCTTTAAGCAAAACATACAACAGACGCTATATTCCTAATAAACACTTAAAAGATCTTAAAAAAAATCAACATTCTACCATTCATACCATTTTTAATTTAAGTATAATGTATTCAAGGCTGGAGCGCTTTCAACAGCAGAAGCTCCGTGCAATCCTGAAGATAAAATGGCAAGAACGTGTCTCAAATGAGTCTGTTCTTCTGCAAACCAACCTCCCCAGCATCGAGACGACTGTAGCCCGACATCGCCTCCGCTGGGCAGGGCATGTCAGAAGAATGCCGACCACTCGACTACCCCGCCAGATCCTGTTCTCTCAACTTGAATCCGGCACAAGACCGAGGGGCGCCCCCAAACGTCGGTTCCATGATCAGCTAAAGGCCACGCTCCTTTGCTGCGGCATTGATCATGACAACTGGGAGACCCTCGCCGAGGACCGAACTGCGTGGCGGAGCACCGTCGCACAGGGAACAACCTACATGGAAACCCAACGACGGATGACAGCAGAGGCAAAGAGACGGAAACGACAAGAGCGGCTCCTCCTCCCGCGACCGCCACCTACTCTGACTTGCACAAAGTGCCCCCGACGTTTTTATACTTCATTAGGCCTGACCAGCCACCTAAGACATCGACACCCCCAGAACAGCTGAGGATGAGACGACACGAACTCAGATGCTCGGACCCGAGCTGAGGCCAGAGAGAGAGAGAGAGAGATTCAAGGATGATAAGTCATCATCATCATAAATATGCAGGTTGCAATAAGACGTGTTCAAAGGAAAGACAATTCTTTAGAATTCTGGACAATCCTACCAGGATTCCTGATCATAATAGGAAATTTCAGCACACAAACCAGAATTCAGGCTCAGGTTAAGTTCTCAGAATTGTGGCTCAGGTTAAGGTCTCAGAATTCAGGCTCAGGTTAAGTTCCCAGAATTGTGGCTCAGGTTAAGTTCCCAGAATTGTGTTCAGTTCTCAGAAAGTTCTCAGAATTTAGGCTTATGATAAGTTCCCAGAATTGTGACTCAGGTCAAGTTCTCAGAATTCAGGCTCAGGTTAAGTTCCCATAATTGTGGCTCAGGTTAAGGTCTCAGAATTCAGGATCAGGTTAAGTCCCCAGAATTGTGGCTCAGATTAAGTTCCCAGAATTCAGGCTTAAGTTAAGTTCCCAGAATTGTGGCTCAGGTTAGGTTCCCAGAATTCAGGCTCAGGTTAAGTTCCCAGAATTGTGGCTCAGGTTAAGGTCTCAGAGTTCAGGCTCAGGTTAAGTTCCCGGAATTGTGGCTCAGGTTAAGTTCCCAGATTTCAGGCTCAGGTTAAGTTCCCAGAATTGTGGCTCAGGTTAAGTTCCCAGAATTCAGGCTCAGGTTAAGTTCCCAGAATTGTGACTCAGGTTAAGTTCCCAGAATTCAGGCTCAGGTTAAGTTCCCGGAATTGTGGCTCAGGTTAAGTTCGAAGAATTCAGGCTCAGGTTAAGTTCCCAGAATTGTGGCTCAGGTTAAGTTCTCAGAATTCAGGCTCAGGTTAAGTTCTTAGAATTGTGGCTCAGGTTAAGTTCTCAGTATTATAGCTCAGGTTAAGTTCCCAGAATTATGACTCAGGTTAAGTTCCCAGAATTATGACTCAGGTTAAGTTCCCAGAATTATGACTCAGGTTAAGTTCCCAGGATTATTGCTTGGGTTTTTTGTCGAATTTTGGCCCAGGTTCAATTTCCAGAGTTACAGCTCAGGTCAAGGTTCCAGAATTCTGATTAAGGGAATGCATGTATATACTTGGATTAAAATGGTTATCATGCGATTTGGGGTAATGTAAACACGTTTAAGCAAGGCAAGTTATCAAATTTTCTGGCTCCGCCCGAACCCGTCACGCTTTAAACCTAAGACGTCCCCAATAACCCTGTATCCAATTGGCAAAAATAAACCATTATGGAATCAGTCCCAATCAATATTTTGAATATTCATCTTTGAACAAATACACCTCGGCGTCAGTACATTATTTATTACAACAATTATTACAACTGTATGTACTGACGCAATGAGAGGAACAAATAGTAATAGCATCTTGTCTGAGGTTAGTTGGGAAACCATGTCACGTAGACGTCAAAGGCACAAACTTGTAAACTTTTATAAAATTATCAAAGAATTAGCACCAAAATACTTACAGGAATTGGTACCACTACAAACCCGTGACTCCTCCCCCTACAGTCTCCGTACTGATCAGAATTACGTCTTAATTCCTGCTAGAACTGAGAAATTCAAAATATCTTTTCTGCCTTTGTTTCCTGGAACAACTTTCCATTAACTATACGGGCATCAACATCAATTGCCATCTTTAAAAACGAGTTGGAGACGTTTTATCACAGCCCTCACACTCAACCTCACTTCTCCCACGGTCCGAGAAACCCAGCTATCCACCTTACCAGACTCAGACTCAACCGCAGTCAGTTAAACTTTCACCTGTTCCAACATCAATGTGTGTCCAGTCCTGCGTGCAAATGTGGTCACTCCAACGAAACAGCTGTACACTACTTTATACACTGCCCACCGTATACAAACGCATTGACATGTTATCATCTCTAACTAACATCCTGCCATTTGACACAAACAACGTCACCGACAACACTTTATGTCCAACCATTCTCAGGGGTAACCCCTCATTGTCGTTTGTCAACAACTGTAAAATATTTGATGTGGTTTTCAACTTTATTTTGCAGACAGGACGTTTTGTTTGATTTAGTGGATAATTTGATTTGTACACCAGCTCATTATGTACCTTTGCCATTTCTACTTCTTCTTATTATTATTATTACTTTGTCTTATTGTTTCTTTTTAGTCACGCTAGTCCACTGCTAACAGTTGGCAACTGTGTAGCTACACCATTAGTAATTTTGAAAAAAAAAAAAACATGTGCAGCCGAGCACTGCGCCTTCTCTTTGCGAGCAATGGCACTCTAAGTGATGGCAGCATGTCAGTCACACTCTTCTGCCCATAGTAGCGATGAAGAGCAAAGCGCGCCACTGGACGCTGTGCTGCCTCCAGGTTACGGATGTTGTTTGAGTTTTGTGGTCCCAAAGAGTTTGACAATATTCTAGTTTCGGTTACTAGTGAAATCGTGACAAGTTTCCAGACATGCCCGTGTAAAGAGTACATTATTTGTAACTGTAGACAATAGAATTCCTTTTCCAAGTGATGTTGACACTTCACATTTATTCGGATAAAACTTCATCATCCAAACCGACATTTCTCCAGTGTACCGAGGAGTTTTTTTTTAGTTCCCTAGACTTGAGACGGCCATATAGATCATTGTGTCGTCAGCAAAAATACGGGCCTTAGAGGTCAAATTGTCAGTACGGCTCCGGCACAGGCCCTTGCAATACTCCAGATATATCAATATATCAGGTATAAGATTATGTAAGCGTTTCAGCAAGGCGTTAGCCCGCTGTCTTTCTAACTTTCTAATATATACCGAGTGCTTAGCAGATAAAGCAGCACGTACCGTTTTTAAATCTTTGGTATGATCCATCCTCCCATGGCAGGGGCAGCGGCTCCGAATTCCTTCTCCACCCCTTACCCCTGCCGTATAACCTCGCATCTTCTACTCTACGACCCCAGGAATATTAATATTCATGAGCTTGCCTTATTTGGCATGACCCCATTTCTGACTTGGGCGGCGAAGGGACGTCACCCTCCCCGCCGGCGACTCCGCCGCCGCCCGGTGACGAGCCCGTTAACGCGTTGGGGAGGCCGTGCGGGGCAAAGTCACCGAGCCAACACCTTCCCCGTGCTCGGCGGGATCCCCGCGCAGCCTCCAGCACACGCTAGCGCCCCGCCGACGCCCGCAGCGGCCTGCATCGCAAAAGTTCTCTTCCCAAGACGACGCCATGTTTGTTTTTATTTGTCACTGAACAGCCGACATGATTGGTTCCGATAGCTAGCGCAGCTCATAAATATTTAATGTAAAGTGCGTTGAAGATTTTCTCTGTGATACGTGATTGGCTGAGAGCGTGTCCCTGGAATCGGGTCACAGAGTAGAAGATGCGAGGTTATACGGCAGGGGTAAGGGGTGGAGAAGGAATTCGGAGCCGCTGCCCCTGCCATGGGAGGATGGTATGATCCGGCCTGGGTTTGACCTAACGACCTCCCAGTAACAAAGCGAGCATTCTACCTACTTGAGCCATGGCACCGGTGAGACCACAAGCAAGCTTTATATTTTTTTCTTCAAGTTTATTAAACAGTAGACTAGAGCACTTTTTACCTGTTCCGTTTGTGTTCTGACGATTGGCAAAGTTTAGGTTACGTAATAATGAGCAAGAATATTAATAACATTTTTAACTAACAAGCAAAATTATATTTAAATAACTCGTGATGGCCCCTCATCTTATAATACTCTGGGCCGACATAGCGAAAGCTCCTATATGCTGCGTCAGCCTCTGTTGTTGTCTTGTTGTGTCCGAATTCCACAGTAGTACAGAAGGCAATCCGGATTCTCCCCAGTGCAGAGAGGAAGAAAGCTTTTGAATAAACATATGTTAGTATGTTAGTATTCTTGCAAAACGTAGCTATCTTTGCCGAAAACAAATTATGCGCATTTTTGTTATCAACTTTCAAAACAATTTTGCTTATCGAATCTCCCTTTGACTGACTTCAATACTTTTGGCCCCAAAACACTTAACCCTATCTAGACACTTAACCCTATCTAGCCCGCGCCAACTTTGATGTCACATAGCGTCTGAACGGCTAGCGCTAGAACGGCCAAACTTAGTGACTTTTCCTAGAATATTGTTGGCAACAATTCTGTATCATTTGAATAAGAGAAAAATTTTTTGTGTTGCCAGGGCAACGGGTTTCTGGCCCCCTTTTTTTGCTAAATTTAGTAATTTTTGTTTTTACAATAGAATTTTATGGGTTTTATGTCATGTTACACATGGTTTCTAAGATTAATAACATCCCATATAATTTTATGTAAATTTTATAATAAAATGCATAATTTATGCTAATTTAATGACGTCATTAGCCAAAACCCAAGATGGCGGACCATATCATTAAAACAGGTATATACAGGTTATTTTCCTTAAAATTTTATCAATACTTCCATTTCTTTTTCCAAAAAAAGGTTTAAATGAAGGTCTTTAGTATATTTACAATGTATTTTAGGCTTTATCATGAAAAAACTTCCATTCCTTTTTACAAAAAAAGTTCATATGAACGTCTTTAGTCTGTTTACAATGTGTTTTAGGCTTTACTCTGAAAAAAAAATATTTTTGAAAATTCAAGATTGATAATCCAAAATTGCGGATAGCTTAAATATGCATGACGTTATTTTATGACGTCACCGGTGTTGCCATGGGCAACATAGAGTTGCCCATAGCGTTCATCATAGTGTTTATTGCAGTATTTTACTCCCTAAAATACTGCAATAAACACTTTTGGTGAAGTTATGCTGTATACCATTTAATTTTCAGGAAGTAACCTATCTAGACGGTTTTGGCCAATAAAATCAAATTGTTGACGTCATAATGACGTCATATTACGTCATAACGACATAATATTGTAGATATGATAAATTTTTACTAGTACACCATCCTTTGAAAATTTGTTGGTCATACGACATAACATTCGCGAGTTCTGAGGGGTAGGCTCATGAGCCCCCACCCCCGTTCCACCAAGCCCAAAAAAGCTCCGTCTAGATAGGGTTAAGCCAAATCAATTCATTTTTCAATTTTATATATACTACACGTAACCTACATTGACAGTTTATAAATCAAAAACTTTTGGAATCATAAAAAATAACCCATTTCAATTTCTAAGAAATTACATTGACATTCTTCTTTTTTTAACGTATTTCATTTACGCTACTAATACCACAAGAGTTCATACAAAGCTAAAAAATACAATATATACACACTTAAAATCGGCATCACTCTTTTAGACACGAATGAAATTGTTAAAAAGAAACTCCATACCGTAATGTCCAACACGGGACAGGGCTGGGTGTGGGTCGAATCCGATAGATTTAACTTCATGGGTGGAACCAAGAAAAAAATTCGGGACGAGATCTGCCACAAAACAACCTTAAAGAAAGGAAGAAAATATTTTGTTTATTAGAGGCCTTTACACGAATATAAGAAAAAGGAAAGGCTTACGTTCCCGAGCGGCGGTTCTTCTACTCTAGTAGTATGTTTACTCTGCTATTACAGCGATGATAGGTTTTACTTATACTTTTTCGTCTCATTTGTTGTAATAGCATGATTACGGATGAAATTTTGCCAAGTATGAAAGTTCATCTGTGTTAGTACAAGTCACTGTGAAAGGAAGACTGAACTTTGTCTCAAACAATGTAATAAATTGGGACTGCCCCCTAATTTTAGATTGACTACATCAAATGGACTCACAACTCAATAACGACAAATCGCGTTTCAGCCTTATGACTGTTTCTAGTTCTTAATATCTGTTGTACATAGATATTTGCCGAAGTGGCCAAGTCATATATTTAAACCTCTGACTAGATCTATTACGCAAAGATCATGTTCTTTTAGAAATTTATTATAATAAATGATATATTGCTCACCCGGAAAACCTTTTATCTCCTGATAATGGCGTTGCTCCTTTCTGTGGCAAGAGTAAGTACCGTTTCCAAGAACACGAAGAGTGTGCACATGTCTTTTCTTTCCTTCTGCTGCTCCGCTTACCTGTTGTGAAACAACTATTATGATTGTCATAGAATCATTTTATGGCTGAATTAAATTGATACAATTGATAGTCTTCTGTTAATAGCATATACCGAATTAATGACAGAGAGTACACTTACCAAGTGAAAATTAGTCTTGTCCAAAAATGAGACAAGGACATCCAGCCTTGTTCCATTGGTAAAATAAAGGTCGTCATCCATGTAGAGAAAATACTCAGTCCAAACTTGAGACAGTCCTAGATTTCTTCCCGCAAAGTAGCCCTTTGTATGGATAAGATTGCGTTGAAAAATATTTGCGATAAATAAAATTAACGAAATCATTTACGGGTAAATTTGGCCGAAAAAAGTTCTTAAGCTACGAACATTTCAAATACAGGTTAAAAGGTAGAATGAACCCGAACACCATGGTAGCCATCACCAACTACAAAAATAATAATATCATTAACCCTATTGTTTGTCCCTTCGGTGTTTGTAATATTTTGTAACTAAATGTTTAACATCAACAATTAGCTTTAAACGCAATCTTAAAAATCACCTACTTTTCTTTCCCACCGATATTTAACATCTCTTTTATGTTAAAGTCCCACTTTGATATACTATGAATAAGTTTTCCGTTACATGTCATTATGGGTTCACCACACCACGAAGTGGTGGTGAACCCATATTGCTTTTTCTGATGTTTCTTCTCCTCCTCCTTCTCCTCCTGCCATTTTTTAAATGGATTCAGCTTCGTCATTTTAGGGCCTAAGGTCCTGAAATTTGGTATGGAGGTACATTGGGCAAATACCCCTAGGCGTTTTTTTTAAATTTTTGTGATACAGGCTTTTAGAATGGTTTTATTTGAGTTTTTTGGCTGTGTTATAGCAAATGTATTACTGTGTTAGTGTGCCGTGTTTACCACGTCTGGGCATGAGTCATCACAATGGAATGCAGGGCATCAACCAATAGGCATGCAGCTTTCCTCTATACTTCTTGCTAATTGGCTGTTGGAATTTAACTTGATTAACACCTGCACAGAGCATTTCCACCGGCACAGAGCATTTCTTGCTGATTGGCTGTTGGGATTTAACTTGATTAACACCTGCACAGAGCATTTCCATACTGACAGTATGTCTTTAGTCAAGTGTTTTGGTAGGTATTTCAAGCTTTTCTGCTCCAGCATTGGAATGCGGGGCATGAACGTTTTTTTATTTATTTTGAAAATCAACAGTTTGCATTATGCAATTAAAAATCCTAACCAATAAAGTAGGGAATAGCTATCCAACTGTTGTTTTAGTTGTATGATACTTCATATTATAGTTTTATCAATGTAAATCATTGTTTTCCCTTGTGTTTCTCATTCTTTCCCTGCCATGTCGTAAAATGTGGTGAACCCATCGCTGTATTTGCTCCAAAGCAAATATTGGCCTTTCTAGTTGTTATATAAGATTTCAATTCAAATTTCATTTATATATCCTGGAGTTATTGCTACAATTTTTCTGCTTATGTTTGTACTTCAGTTAAACCTCTGTTAACTGTTTTTAACATACCGTTTCTAATTAGCGTTAGTTACCAATTACTTATAGTTATTTATTTTTACCATTTGATTGTTACCATTATTACAGTTGTCAGTTAATTTTGTCGGGGGAAGATCATGGACAAGCCATTATGGCTTTTTATCTTTCCCTGCATATCCAATTTTACTGTAATATGTTCATTTTGTTGTTTTTATCTTTGATTATATGCGAATAAAGTAACAAACAAAAAACAAAACAAACTACTTACAGTAAGTTACAGTTTCATGCAGTTTTTTAAACATTTAAACGATATAATGTTCAAGCTTGCCAAATTACGTCATCTACGTTTACATGCACCTTTTGGTAAATTCGTTTGTTTCTATTTCGCTATTTGAACCATTATGTAGAGTGCTTGTTACGGGCTGATGTTTTTTATGTTGTTGATATACACAGGCCTGCCCAAATGGCTCTTAATTTAAATATGGCTGTTAAATTTGCAACTATTAGAGATAAAAGGAATTGTATTGTAAAATATTTATATCACTCCGTGTGAAAATATAAGCATAAGCAACTTTGATCATGACCATTTCTCTTTTTATTTTATATTTTTGCTGTAAAATTCTCTAAAAATTCCATTTACAAAGGTATTGTTATCTTTTGCTATAGGTGAATGATTCGATGGGATCTGTGATATGTTATGATTTTGATAAGCGTTTTTTTTTATTATCGTCCAAATAACATAACGTAATTTATCACCGTGACTCTGTACTATGTAGTTGTCAGATACTTTTAAAGCAGATTGTGGTTTTTTCTAGTATTTATCGTGTCCATTAAAACACCGTTCCTTAAATATAGGTACTTTATGTACGTTGGCCATTTGCTAACCACTCAAAATGAGGTCGTCGCTTCACGGGAAATACTCTGTATTTTCGTTCGTTAGCTTTAGGATAAATGCAGTATACTTAACTTCATTTCCTTACAACGGTGCAGCATCTGCATAAAATTCTCATAAGTAAGAGTATCACAGGGGTCCGTACTCGGACCGATGCCTTTTACTCTTTGCAACGGCCCTTAGACCTTGGCACTAGCCGTACCCGATTATTAAAAAATGTATATGAAAACAACAAAGTACTGTCCTTCTCCTATCGCAGTTTTCACAGTATTTAGGAACAGTCCATATTTTGTATTATTCATGTACCCATGTAAAATCTGCATGTTTCATTGCATACTAATGAGCATTGTAACGGTTTTAACGTTATTGTATTTTGTTAAGGTACAAAAGGGAAATAATAAAAGCTCTGGGTAACAAGAAGAAACACATGTATCAATTACAAAGTATTGGCAATTACTTACAGTGAAGCCTGGCATTCTAAAGTGATCCATGTTGATACCTTGCAGGTTTGTAAAGTTCGTCGGGGGAGTGTCGTCAGCAATAATGATTCTTGTATTTGGATACAATCTCTTGATAGAGTAAATCGCAGATTTTGCCTTATGGTACCGAAGAAACGTTTTAACAATCACAGTGACCCTTTCTTCGACAGTTCCTAATGAGTGAAAACGTCATCACCGGTGTTAGCAGTAATAAGTATTTTTTTCGAGTATTTTTTTCACAAACTAATCGATTTGTGATTTTTTTGTTTAGACAACGATTTGTTCCTCCAGAGTCTTCCTTATTTGATAGTGCAACTTGCAAGAAATCAAATGAAAAGACGATACCTAAAAAAAAAACTTGAGATGGTGGGGAGGACCGCATGTTAATGTAACAACTCTGTGTTTTTGATAACTGGTAATAATGAATTGGTTTTAGTTTTCGTTTATTTTGAATATAAACTAGTTTACGCAATATACACAAGTATATCTCTATTGCTTTCATTTTCTCGCAATGTTTACAAAAGGGAAGCATAAATGTTATAATTTCACTATGTGTTGAGAAGTCTATCAGTTTGAACATTTGATGCCAATATTGTTCTAACACATTGTCTGATAGTCTAACATCGCTTATCTTCACGTTCAAGGTTCAAGTCTAACCATGACTTCTTGTCTTCACCATGATCTTTATTATACGGTGGTACCTTTTCTATACAGCCATGGAACCTGTCGATGTTGAATATGAATCGGAATTGTAATATTGAATTCCAAGTAACGAAGAAGAACTGAAAAAAAATGCGTTATATATACTTAACCCTCAACAGTACATCTTCCCGGACTGATTAATCTGTACACCTGGGGTCCGCGCGGACCCCAGAGCAGTTTTTGCTAATTTTTAGAAATTATCAACATGTTACCAGCTCAATTGTTTTGCAAATTGATGTGTGAACCTTTAAGTCCACATCACGTACAAAAATCATACATTTTGAACTTTTCCTATTTTTGGGCGAAGAAAAGACAAAAAGAAGAAAAACCCGATTTTTACACCCTATTCAGATCGAGTGATTTTTTTAGGCTCGCGCCAACTTTAATCTTCGATAGCGCCTGAACAGCTTAAGCTAGAGCCATCAATTTTAGTGACCTTTCCTAAAATGCATCTGGAAAAAAATTCATATTAGTTAAATAAGTTAATGATTTTTAATGTTGCCATGGCAACGGGTTTCTGACAGGCAGTTTTTTTTGAAAAAAATCAGTAATTTTAGTTTAAACTTTAAAATTTTCAGGGATTTATATTCAATAACACTTCCTTTCTGACATTAATAACGTCTTACATAATTAAAGATAAGTTAAATCATTTAATATTCATAATATATGCTAATTTGATGACGTCATTGGTCAAAATCCAAGATTATTAGCTCTGACGTCGTATGACGTCATAATTACACTAAAATTGTTAGAATCTAATTCTATTAGTACACCATTCTCTGAAAATTTGGTGGCCATACGATAAGTGCATAAAAACATATTAAAACGGAAATAATGTATAAGAACGCCAGTGTATCCATTACGATCAAAAGCCGGCTGGGGTCCGCGCGGACCCCAAAAGAAAATCAGATATAAACATTTTTAAAAATTGGGGAAACTGAGTTTTCAGCACTGTATTGAGGGACAACTTTGTGGGTGACAATTACCAGAAATTTCAGAAAAAAATCTTAACAAACAAGAAAAATATTACAGCATATATAGTGCTGGGGTCCGCGCGAACCCCAGGTGTACTGTTTAGGGTTAAATTATTACAAAGTACAAAGAAATATATATAATATGGTATGTTAAGATTATCACCAAAGATCACGCATTCTTACATTCTAATAATGCGTGATCAGTTAATGCAGCATTGAACGTAAAATCAGCACTTAATTTCTATAAAAGGTTGGTTATCAGAGCCAAAAATGATCAATCGCAATACTTTTGTCATTTTATACTGCTAGTAATTGTTAATATAAACAAATGACTTAAGTGGTCACTTCTGGTTATTAAGTACAATTTTCGCCGAGAATTATTGATGTTTGAAATTTTTTCTCGGCCCTTTGGATTTAGTCTCAAGGCACGAGGTCCATTTTTATGACGTCATTTGGACACGTGGATTACACCAAGAAAGCTATTCATACAGACTTCCTATCATACATCAACACTAGACGAAAACCAAGATATCCGGACGTTTCCGGACCTGTACACGTCCCGTGAAACTTGGCGTGTCCGGGTGTGTCCGGGTGTGTGCAGGAAATATCAGCCACGGCGTGTGCAGGTCTGTGATACCTCCGGACACGCCCGGACACCTGGTAATTAGTCGTGTGTACGGGAATATACGGGCTGCACACGTCACACGTCGCAAGTACTGCCAAACAATGAGGGGTCACCATACATGTAGATCGTTTCGCAAATGCGTGAATTGAGAGGTGTACATGTGTTTTCAAAGGCCGCGTGAAAGAAGAGCGGGAAAGTCGGTGAATAGAATAAATTTTGTTTGGGGGCCGATGCCTGTTATAAAGTCGCCCTCGGTACAGTCTGGTTGACTTTTTGGGCCATGCCAGGCATATATAATCCAAGGACATTATATAAACTCTGCAAAAGAATCTAGAAGGATATATAAAGCTCGGAACAAGGATTTTATATGAACACGGAGCTTCAACTAGGTTATGATATAACGTCATTGTTATGAATGTGGTATAAGTGTATCCCAAAGTTTATATGTAACTATAACCCTTGCTATGAACAGTAAGCAGATTTCTTCGTGTCGTCCGTCGTCTCCCCGCATATATTAACGCCTAATTACCCCGGCACCATATTGGATCTACAGTGGTAAAAAAAACACAATTACTGATCAGAATTTTACCAAACTAGGCTATTGGGAACCTTCGATCTTGACATATTTCACCTTTGCAAACATGGTCGTTTTCGTTGGTGATGTGGGGGGCCGGCTTGGTGTTTTTCAAATATCAGCCCACTTTAGTGTAAAAAATAATTTTTTTGGAAGAGACAAAAGATGCACGATTTACTTCTACATTGTTGTCATATGTGTATTGTGGTGTCATGGTCAGAGACGAGACGAGACGGCGCCTATGTCTTATTTACCTTGTTTGTTTTTTTATAAGAGAGGTTTAACTTCCTTGGTTATATCTAATTTTTTGGAACTTAAAGGAGTATTAACCTCCAGAAGGAAGTGCTATTTTCCGATACATCATGCTGCGATGAATACATAACTAGCCGACTTTTTACATAATTTCGCTTGTACGACTTGCGCGGCGCATGTTTGTAAAGCGATATCAATATCAATTTTCCCCATGCTGAACCACAATAGATACATCCGGAAACTCTGGCTTACGCAATACTCATACACTTCAGGTCAACATAAACATTTTTCGGCAAAAATGGTAGGAGACAAGCACATTAACAAGCTGATTATTGGGAAATTACTTGCTTTACTTTGCTTGACCTGTGGTTTGAATACTATTATATGAGGATGTCTAATGCAGTGAGCGCCAGTTTCATCCTGCGTGTTTTGATTTTCTCAACTTATTTGCATGTAAGTATTAATTGAACAAATAATTATATTACGCCACTTATGGAAAGATAATTAGATTACGCCGTTTTTTTCATCGTCTATATTTCAGTGGTCATGCGATATACCGTTCATGAGTTCGGAGGGGGCGAGGGAGCCCCCCCCCCCCCATGTACACTATATGACATCCAGTAGATTTCTAGCGGGACCAATCAGAGGGCTGCTGACGCGTCACCGACTAGCGGCTATTAGCACCTTGTTTCATGTAAATGCAATGAACTCAACCAGAGCGCGTATATTGTTTCTTGTTTACATCAGTACTAAGTACTAGTACTTCCACAATCAGTTAGTAAAGTCATACCTTAGTAAAATCTACTTTGATGAACGAATCAAAACTTGGAAAACACCACTTTAAGCGCTAACGTTGTAAGAACTGTGGAACCTCAAACTAGTATGTTTGCGTCAGCGGAAAGGCTGTCGAAGTAACCACTACATGAAAAACTGCGGCGAAAAAGGAACATGGGTTCGTCCCAAATCTAGACGCAAGTGAGCTACAAAAGTAATAGAACCTATGCATCTTGCTTGTTGCTGTCAACTTACCCGTTAAAGATTGAACCGATACATGTACGTACTATAACTTGCCATACCCGGCCAAAGACGACTACATTACTGTTACTCTTTATTTTGTGCTGTATAATGTATATGCGTTACATTATCTATCATAACGTAGTGCTACAATCTGCGTAAAAAGTGGGCTTCATTACGTGTTATCTGCTAAGTCGTGTTGGTATTGAAAACTGTTTTATTCTGCCGTTCTTCTACAAACAGCCAGCAGAATTATGAAGATACTCGTTCTCAATACACATGCTGCAAACTAAAGTAATGGCAGTCCTACGAAAATTCTGTTTGTAATGTATAAGCGCTTTATGTCGACGTACAATGGGTGTGAAATTCATGTTTTCGCCCATCGTGTGCCACCGGCTCGGTGCATGGAGGTAGAAAACTCTCTTTTACCTCCATGCTCGGTGGTAATTGGCTACTTTACAAGTGAAAGAACCGCGTCCGTGGGCCTTGATAAATTATTCAAATTATTCAGCAGCCCTCTGATTGGTTCCCGCTAGAAATTTACTGGATGTCATTCAGTGACGAGCAGCCCCCCCCCCCCAGTCCCAAAGATTAAAAAAAGCCCAGTCTAGATAGGGTTTACTAAGAGGCAGAATAGTGTAAGATCTCTGGAGTGAGACGAAATCGCTAGCGTTATGAACCCCCACCCCCGCCCGGAAGGGCGAAATCACTGGGGGAGAGGCAAAAACACACCGGGTGAAAGAGCGTTAGGCGCCGAAAAAGATTTTTAAAAACATCCTAAAGAAACCCGGGCCCGGCTTAATCATGTAAGCTACCGCCATGGATGCATCTAACAATTTGTAAAAAGAAAAAAAACAACCTTTTTCAAATATGTTGGTGTCAAATTCCGTATTACGGTACACTATGTCCTGAAGCTGAAGATTCAGCAGGGATGGGCTGTTTGTTCTTATTGTCATCCTTTTGGTCTCTTTCCCTTCAATATAGACGTTTTCGTAATTACATAGCGTAGTAAAAACGCCTTTTTCAGCACGAAATTCCACCTGCAAGACATCAAAATATAACGTGTCATAGAAAACACTTGTATGTTAAATAGTTTTAAATTGTAACCATTAAGATTGGGCATGTGATATCATAGAAAACATGACGGAGACGCGGTGAAGAAAAGAAAATGAAAACGAGAAAAGACACAATATAGATAAAGTACACGAGTGAAACTCATCTGTAGCAAGACCTTTTCAGCAATGGGCAAGTCTTGTTACCTCCATGAAAAATATAGATTCTTTTTTGGCGTGTCTGTGCCCGTCTGTGTGTCTGTCTCTCTGTGTGTTTGTTTGTGTTTCCGCACATCTGTAGTCAGCATAACTTCAAAACGCCTTTATGGATTGTAATTTTTGGTATGTTGGTAGGTCGTAGGAATAGAAAGGGCATGGTCAAATATAGGCCCCCTGATGGCTGACCTTGGTACTGCAGCAGAATGTTGCCAAAAGATAGGAATTTCACAAGCAAAATGTTAAAATTTGAGTTTAGAAAACCATAAATTTATAGTACATTTGATCTTATTTTTGAATGAGACAAATTCCCCCCAAACATTAACATAAACTTTACATATTTCATGTAGGTATGATGTCTTCGAATTCTTGTTATTATTGATTTGTAAATGTTGGTAAAAATGGATATTCCGACTTTGGAAAGTACAAGCAATTTAAAGAAAATAAGCAATTTAAATTGTAATAAGTACCATGATAATTGAATTAATATGCAGCTCAGATCATAAACACTAATTATGTGAAAATCTACACTCAATGATGTGCACAACACATAGAGGTGTCTTGTAATTGATATTATGGCCTAAGAGTCTGGCAAGCTTGCCTGTTCGGTCAAATAGAGTTACTGTTGGGCTGACATTTCTGAAAAGAAAAAGTCTGAGCTCATTAGTTTACTCAGCAATGCTGGGCTAAAATAACACAGACTTTTAGCCCGTTCTAGATTGGTATTTTAGAGAATACCGTGAAACCTGCATTTTTTTTCAAAAGTTCCTCTATGGTTAGCCGTCAGTCAGGACTACTGAAGTTTCCTAACCATTGGGCCCTCTCTCAAACACACGTAGACACAGGTAGACTTGTAGACAAAGTAGTATTGCTTTTTATTATGACATGTGCCTATAGCTACCTATGCAATTTCTCCATAAAGGAATCAATTACATTCACTGTAAAAACTGCATAGTTCTTTCATTATGGTTCCAAGTTTTAGAAAACAAGATTTGTGGACCCTGCCAAAATACAAACACTCGTACAAACGTATTTTGAAGAGGAGAGATAATACGAGTAGAGGTATGCCGAATGTGCATGTAGTGGTAAGTCCTGTTATGCCTGACCCATGGCGATGGTTTGCTACATGCACAACCACCACCCTCCCCGCCCCGAACATGGCTTTTCTCACCAGACGGTGAACTTCAAAAGTCTGAGGAAAACACCTTTAGACTGGAAAAATATGAACTATATTCAGGCCAGGACGGCCAAGTGACGATAGATTTACTGCTGTAACTGGAAAACACGTACAGCCACCTACATGCCCAGAGGATTGACAACTAGGGCAAGGGTAAGAAAAGAAAAATGATGTAGTGGAGAGAATGCCCTTTAATCATGGTTTAAATTCTTAAGATAGGTTTTTCAGTGATGTGATGTTTTAAATCGTTACCTTTTCTTCTTGGGTACCCCGGCGGGGGATGAACCATTCAATTCGTAGTCCTAATGAATAGTATAGAGAAACAGGTTATTCATGATTAAATTATTAAATATCACTAGATTTCGCTCTTTATTTTATTAATTTTTCATTACATAAATTGCTGTTGGAAGCTTTAATGATTTTTGTCTAAATGGGGACTTCATTAGCATTATCGTAGGGAAATTCTCCTATAGTCTTCTTGTAGAGTTCCTGGTTAGATGCTTGGAAATAGATTGATTAGTAGATTTGATAGATTGTTGTATTTATTAATTTATTACAATTGACCACATACATATGTACACGGAGGGCATGGTGGAACAGGTCACTTAAGTGCACCTTTTCAAGGTCACCATGCCCACAATAAATAGACAATGTGCATAAAAAATACAAAACAGTGATACTGTATATACAAATTTACATGATAATAACTAGACTCAACGGGGCCTCGTAGCGCGGCAGGCGGGGCAGCCAAACGACAGCACCCAGGAGCACGGAATGTTCACACTGAAATGTTGGTTAAGTCTATTGCGCATGGAAGACTGACACTTTCTCTTAAAAGCTGCCACGTCAATTGGACTCGACGCGTTAGCTCCCAACGCCCTGGTCTCGATGTCCAGTTTATTCCATACTGTTATGACTCGTGACAAGAAGGATGAAGCATAAGACGAAGTCTTCGCCCTCGGTGGGACAGGCATGTGAGCCATAGAGCTCCAAGGAACTCTAGACGAGAAGCACGAGACTTAACAAGTGCTACAACATCAATAATGTCCCTTCTGTACGAAAGAGGTAGCCAGCCCTGTCGTACAGAAGGGATGTTTTGCACATACACAAGAATGAAGATAGAGCCTTTCCTAACAATTACAGAACTAGTAACTAGTAAGCACTTGATCATCTTATTTGGAAATCCTCTGGAGAGCTGAGCAAACTTAGCTATATGACTATCTCGGCAAAACATTATCTCTGATGAGAAACTCAATTTCAGAACAAACAAGAGTTCCACGATCTCATACCTTCGCCAAATGATGTTAATCTTTATGACTGACAAATTATGGATTCTTCCCCCTGATTATGCGAATAGGATCCTCATTTCCATGAATTACATCAGTTGATCATATTCTTCACAATTAGACAGTCTTATCTTAACAAAGAATGCCATTCTACCATTTCCTTATACATTATGGAAATAAGTTTCTTATTTGAATAAGTTATGTCTAGTGATGTTCACCTTCACTTAACTTTCAAATACCCCAATTATGACATTCTAGGCATTTACCATTGCTGAATTATAGCTTTTTCTCATTAATTACGCGAATTAAGTATCAATCTACATAATCAATATCTGGCTGTTTATCATGAAAGTTCATCTGTGTTGGTGGTAATCATAGTAAAACGTTAGACTTTATTCCAACACACAATTTACCCTGATGAAGGCGACAGTGGTCTCTGAAAATTTGATCTCTGTAAATTGTCTGTTGGAATATCTGGCTGTATTTCTCTTGTTCTCAAAGCTTGAATAGTCCTATCATGTAATGCAACTGATTTATAGAATATCCTCATAAATTGTGCAAATTACATTCATATATGCATAAAGACCCCATAATTATGTCAAGCATTACTTAATACCTACACACCAAAAATCATGATGATCTGCCAACCGGTTCTTGAGTTATCCCTGTTTCAATATTATCAAACGACCCTGTTTCAGAGCAAGCCACTAGGGAGCCCAAACTTGCGTCACTTCTTCCTCACAACAAGAGCTACCTATCATCTAAAGTTGGTGACCCTAGTATGACTAGGTCATAAGATATCAAAACTAAAAGTTCCGCTGAAGTACCACAAGAAGATGCTAGGGGGCCCAAAATCTAATTTCTAGGTCTTACCAAGACCTACTCACCTACCAAACATCAGCTCTATCCATTAAAGCATTGTTAAGTTATCGTGTTTCCGGACAGACAGACACACAGACACACACACGAACGCCTCTGAAAACATAACATTCTTGTCGAAGGTAACAATTTGCTACTTATTGAATAGTGAGTAGTCTGGAGACTTAACGGGGACTGTTTCCATTGATTTATCAAAAGCATGTGATACTTTTAATCATTCCATACGACTTCTAATGAACAGGCACGGTATCCAAACCATTAGCTGCTAAACTCCCTAACCCACCGAAATTGTGTGTTTCACTGCTGTAAATGGTCACTTTTCTCACCGCTACAAGGTTCATCATTGGCCTCCCTCCGTCTGGACAGACGATGACACGCGCCTCCTTGAACAGGTTCTCCTGTGGCTGTATAGACCGATCCTTGAGTGGCAGTCTCTGTTGCAGCTCTCACAGATAAATGTTGAAGTATGCTGAGCTGGTCTCGTCTTTTGTTTTTCTTTCTTTTCCTTTCGCAGTCTGTCCCGATCCTCATCCGCCCTCTTCACCCCTGTTTTGACAGTGGATTTCCACAGGGTGCGGTTAAGGGCGATGCTCTCCCAGGACTCGGAGTCGATGTGTTCTGCCCTCAGGTCCCTCTTACAGACGTCCTTGTATCGCAGATGAGGGCGGCCTTTTTTCCGAGTTCCGCGCTCAAGCTGGCCGTACAGTAAGTCCTTTGGAATGCGGTCTTGATCCATGCGGCGGACATGGCCTAGCCATCTCAAGCGACGTTCACTGAGAATCGCATACATGGTCCTGGATCTTGACCTCCTGAGGACCTCGGAGTTTGTAACCCTGTCCATCCAGGTAATGCCCAGGATCCTACGTAAGCATATCATGTGGAAGGCATTAAGTTTGGCTTCTTGTACCGCATAAGTTGACCAAGTCTCACTTCCGTAAAGAAGAGTGCCAAGGACACAGGCCTCGTACACTCTAAGCTTTGTTTGTATGGACAGATTCTTGTTTTCCCATACTCTATGTTTGAGTTTTGACATTACTAAAGCTGCTCTGCCAATTCTGGTATTGATTTCTATGTCAAGGGACAGGTTGTGGGTGACCGTCGACCCGAGGTAAGTAAACCTGTCGACTACAGCAAGACTGGAGTCGTTCACTGTTATAAGAGGGGAACATGGAGCATTCTGGACCATAACCACAGTTTTCTTTATGATGATGGTTAGTGAGAACTCGTGGCATGCGCTTGAAAAACAATCCAGGAGACGCTGCAGGCCTTGTTCTGAGTGGCTAGCCAAAGCTGCGTCATCAGCGAAAAGAAGCTCCCTGAGAAGGACACGGATTATGTATGTAGTATCTCATCGGTTAACCTTAGGGTTACTGTTATGTATTATTTATGCAATACCGAAGTACATCTATAGTGAAAGTGCAATCTATGGTGATGGAAATGGCTTTAAAAATAACTGGTAATTGATAATAATAATGATGCCATATATATATAAATATATACAGCTTGTCTTTAACGACATTGTTAATTGAATACGTGTTCCTGTAATTAATTTCTGAGCAAATGATCTTTTTTGTAATGACGTGATATTGTTTTCTGCCAAGCCTCATTTAACTTCATGTTAGGTCTGCAATTATGTTTTTGCTACATGTACACGTACATGTATTTTGAAGAACTTTGTTTGAGGCCTTCTTTGTTTATTGAAAATTTAGTCTTTTGACTGTTTGTGTAAGCGCCATTCACTTTCATGATCTATTTTCCTCTTTTAACCTGATGATATGTCAGTATTAATTACTTTTTGACATTTTTTGCTCAAATGGACTTCTATTTGGAGGTGACTGTGATGAGATGTGATGTTAGTTTACTTTTTAAAGTTAGAGAAATGTGTTAATTACTAGTAATTTCTGAGTTTACACTGGGTCCAACGATTTTAAAAGTCTAGTCCCTGGAAGGTTAGTTCGGGAAAAAGCTATTGTTTCTATGTTTCGGCTACGCATTTTTGTAAAGTACCAGGTGACATTATTGTATAGTGTTAGCATAGTGCATAACGTGTATACACTATACATAAAGCGTTATTTTTGTCAGTCTGTAAATGGCGATCCTGTTTATACCATTAAAACGATGAATGAAGTATAAACATGTATTACTTTTTTTTTAATGAAATGTGTTCCTAAAACATCGAAATGTGTCCCGGGAGCGGGGGAAGCGATTTCTCGGGAGCCGGGCAGCGAAGCCCCGGGAGCGGGAAGGGGGGTCCCCGTAGTGGGTGCAGTGGGGTCCCGAGAACGGGAACAGCAGGGCCCCGGGAATGGGAGCAACGGGTCCCGGGAACGGGAGCAACCGGTCCCGAGAGCGGGGCGGGTTTTGGCCGGGAGGGGAGGTGTAGTACCGGCATGTCCGACCCGTACACGGCGAATTTCCGCTGCCGTTACGGTTTGGAGAATAATTAGGTGATAATTGACGCTAAATTATGCATATTCCAGCAACGCACGGAGCGGTGCACGGCCATTTCCTGCCGTGTACGGGGATGTACAGAGATCGTGTCCGGGCATATAACGTCCAGTACACGACCTGCACACAAAAAGTGGTTCATTTCCGGGAGTGTACAGGACATGTACGGGACTGGACACGTTACGTGTGCAGGTCGGAAACCCCCGGGTTCTACCGGAAACCTAAAGTATCCGGGAAAGTGTGCGGCAATTTCTCACACGGAAACGAGGGATTTTGTGCGGTGATCTTTAAAAAATGTTGTAAGGCGGGCGCTCCTCTTTCTTCCAGAGAGAAGAGGCCACCGCAGGTCGTTGAGCATTTGTGTGAAACTGCTTATTCGCCTGTAGTCATTGAGGGTCACCCGGGCGGCCCTGCGCTGGACAGCCTCCACCGCCTGTATCCCTTTGATGGTATACGGGTCCCAGACGGTGGCACTATCTTCCAAGTGGGGCCGAGTGGCCTTGACCCTAGATGGACAATGGGTCAAATTGCGCCGGATGACCACCAGAACTCTATATATATACCTGCTTTACTAGTGGTGTGGTTGATACGGGTGTCCCACCGCAAATCATCGGACAGATGTACTCCGAGGGTTGGATTTCATTGCAGAGGGTGTAATGTGTTATGATGGGCCGTCTTTTACGGGTTATATGGATGATGTGACATTTAGAGGGATTGAACGACATAAGCCATCGGTTCTGAAATCCCGTTCGAGCATCAAGGTCAGGCTGTAAACCTTGAGCGTCTTGGAAAGTGAGCAACAACTGGCTCTCACAGGACATGTTCCTATAGATGGGGAGGGGGGTTATCATGTCTACTAGTTAAACTACTTAAAAAGGAACAATTACGCCACACAGGGGTGTCCTAGGGCTTCATTACTCGTTAACTGTATTGTACTGAAGAAAGTAGAAGAGAAAAGATGCATAAAGGGATGGAAGGGAACAAAAAAGGGAAACGGTAGAGGAGCTCCAGAAAAAGGCGGCCGCCCGTCGGCCTGACCTCTGACCTAGTCGATTATTAAATGTGGAGAATAATGCTTCAGTTTATAAGCAAAGTCATGAAACACTGTGTGTACAATTCTGTATTTTATCCATTACGCGGGACCATTCACGATTTTCAGCATTGATTTACATCTGGCCGTTCCACCACCACTCGGCTTTTGAAAACGTACCACAAAGAAGGAAACGTACCACAGAGAAGGGTCCATACAAGACAGAAAAAGGCAGGTAGACATGTTATTCCTCGAGTTTGAAAATGCACTTTTTTTCTGTTTCACACACTCTTTTGATCCACAAACTAAAAACATTTGGTTTTGGCGGTGATCCTGTGGCATGGTTTAAGTCATGTATCACCAACCGTCGTCAGCGTGGGGTGTTGGAGCGTTACAACACAGAATGGCTTCCTGTTACTTCAGGAATGCCTCAGGTAATAATAATACTAATAAAAATTGTTTATTCACTTCTTTGTAGCGCATGTACAGACTTGTCCAGTTATTTGCACATTTATTATCATCTTTCAATATTACTTTACTTCTCTTTTTCGCAAGCTCCGAAGAGAACTATGTTTCCAGTCTATTTCACAGACAAACACACACAATTAGGGCAGTGAGCTCACCGTCACGAACGAACAGTGAAAGGTTGAGTCACGAATGACCCTTACGAGGGTTAGGGAGGAAGTGTCAGAGGGTAAAGGGGCGGAATAATTAGTATCAGGGTAGGGGTCACGTGATTTGTCTGTTCAGCCGACGGGAAACGAGATTGTACATTTAAAATACGCTGCTGGTGCTACAGGTTAAAAATACGATAGACGCTAACGTAACAATAAAGGCACTTAAAATACATACAGATATGGAGGATATAAAAGACACAACGAGCAGTGATCAGTGATCATATAACCGACATGAATTTTGCCAATGCAAGGTATGGTGCTATTCTTAAAGCGTTGAGTTCTGGCGGCTACCGTGTTGAGTTTATGGCTGGATCTAGTGATCCTTCCGCTGATCAGTGAACGAGTTGGTGGCAGCCACTGTCTGAAACTGCATTCCAGCAGACCGCGGCCGAACTTATAGGATCAGGTGCTGGCATCTTTCCTGGATTGTGGTCAACCCTAGGTGGCTAAAGATGAGTCAACCCTAGGGGCCTAAAGTCAAACTAACACAAACCTCTGTACTGTTCCTATTGACCTGCCAAATATTATCGCATCCCGTATGACAGATCTCGATATACACACCAAAACATCATTCAGAATGAAAACAAGATCAACCATTTTGAAGTTTAAGAAATACATACCTTTGATTAAAACTGCCCGTAGGGGCATAACGTAGAGACCATGAGCTGGGTAGCTGACTGGTGACCTGCCGTCCACATAGTTGTATATGTCGTCCATACAGATCTTCCTTAGATTTGTAGATGCGCAAGATCTATGAATAATCTTTTAATACTGTTGCATAATTACAAATTATGAGCATTTATGTAAAAAAAATATAATAAAGATAAAAAGATAAATGTATTTAACCGCTATATTGTTATATGTGGTTAACTTTAACGTACATATTTAAGTATCATGTTAGCATTCTTTATTGAAAAATAAAAATTAAGCCATCCAATACACTTTCAGTGCAGCAAAACAAACGAATTCTGCTGAGGAAATTTGACACTTGCTACAATCTTCGAGCACATCCGTCATTATTTGTTATACCTGAAGTCTTTTAAATAGTCCTTAAAATTTCTAATCTAAATTTTCTTAAAAAGTCTTGTAAACTTTTAATGTTTTCCTAGGATACGTTTATTTCTGTAAAATTTACGTTAAAAAGGTCGGGTAGAACCACACTGCCATGGTAACAATTATTTAATTACCTCTTCGTTGGCTATTGCAATGGATACAGAAAAAAGAAGGTACTTTGAAGTTTTTGAACCAAAATGCTAGTTCAATGATCAGAAAAATGATCTCTATTAGGGGCATTATTGTTAGATTCACACACACACACTTGGAATTTTGATCGAGGCATTAACATGATGTTGCGAAAGCTTGTTAAGCAGTTTGTTGATTATTCAATACAGAATAAAATTATACAGTTTATAATTAAATATTACTATAGTAACTAAGGAACCTTACCGCCTCTCAAATCGTTCTAAACTTTTCGTCTTTTGTTCAAGTTCCAGTGTCCACTGCGGAGAGGTATGTATGATTTCACGTACTCTTCTGTTGCAGACGCATGGCGGTTCACTAATTTTTTTTCCAAAAGGTAATAAAACAATAATTAAAATTTGAAGAAGCAGGTCCTTTCCGAATAGAAATTGTTGTTGTAGTTAATAATAAATGCATAGCATTAACACAACGGGTAAAAAAATAAGTATTTCCAGGTCATATATAAATAAATCATGCAAGAAAAACAACATTTTAATGAAAGATGTATATTTTCTTGTGATTAGGCTTTTGAAATTTCATTTTAAGTTAAAAAGAATTAAACGAAAGGTAACCAGCGTCTTTTTTAATTTTTTTCCTCCACACTAATAAAATGTTCAATGGTAACACTAATGCAGTATAAAAATGCATTCTGACTTATTGGTTCTGACTTTTAGGTTATTACGCAATGGAAATTTACGTATTATGTTTCGCAACAGCTGGGGGATGAAACGCTATTTAGCCTTACCATACTTACACTAACTATACTTAAAGAACAAAACAAACTTACTTCAACGTTAACATCGTGTCATTCTTTCTTGCACAGATTTTCTGTTCTCTTGCAGCGAGCACAATTGGCGCAACCATTTGTGTTGCAGGTTCCACGTGTTTAATAACACATGGCTCAATATGAATATAAATGCTGAGTGAAACACAACTGCAACAGGCATAAGATATTTAGATTAACACATGATGCAAATAAACAAAAAATAAAACGTAGGTACATCGATCTTTAGCAATTGACGTAGCAATCTCGGATGCGTTTTAAAATATATTTACTTGCCCATGAATAATAAACATTGCTTTAAAAAAGTCCATGAAACAGACGCCTCCCCGAAGTAATGATGGTGTTTGTGGTATTTTTTTTTTATTAATGAGAAATTCAAATTGGTCAGCAGGCCTTTTTTTCTTTTAGGTCATAAGGGAAAAGGCAATTGTCAGACATAATAAAGAGTTAACATAATTTAAAGTTCTGGTATTTTAATAACTTCTGTCATACCTACATGCAAAATCTATGAAAATGATCTTCTTTGACAGGCAAACTAGTTGTTTAATGTGTAAAAGTCCTATCTTGGAATATTGCATTGTTTTATTTTATAATATTTAAAACATCCACCTCATTTACCTCTCTATGACTCACTATTATGTTTCACAATCTGCCATCAGTGACACCAATGTTATGCGCCAATGTAAATACCACAATAGCAAGTCCAGCAAATGTGTCAGTTTTACGTATTAAGCAGACGTATCATTATGGGCAGAGCACTGTTCTGAGAACGATCAATTCTGCTGCGAGGAGTGCTTAGTTTATAGGATGATCTGGTTTATTGCACCTATGACAGGTGGCAGTAAATGCCGGGACTGTTCAGATTGTCTAAGGTAGTTTTCAAAGTTCTTAGTTATGACATCGTGTCTGAAGGGTGGGTAGTTCCGAGTATTAGCAGCCCTCGGTGTAGGGTGTGTACTTCGCACCCATCATGATGCTTGTGGCTCTCCGTTGAACCTTCTCGATTTTGCTGCTTAGTAAGCCCATTGATCAATCCAGAGTGACAGACGGGGGCAGCGTACCCGAGAACTGAGCATATATAGGACACATAGACTGTGACGAGGTCTTCTAAAGAGATGTTAAAGTGTTTCAGTTTGAGGAGTAGGACCTGACGGAGGGCGTCTTATGTCCGATCATAAGGGTCATGCTGACATATTGAACAGTTTCATACAGTGTTCGGGGACAGTTGAACTCTATAAAAGAATTTCAGGAGAAGTGCAACATGCCACCGGCGGACTACCCATTCTTCATAAGGTCAACATTTGGATTTAGGGGGTCAAGAAATTGCTACTGTAATGGTTCCAGGGGTACTAGCATCTGAAATAGCAGTACCACTCACCATCGCCCTCCAATCTTCAGTTAGTACTGGCACGCTACCATCTGACTGGAAAACAGCCATATTGCACCGGTGTTCAAGAAAGTTGAGCAGGTAACTACCACTCAGTGTCGATAACGAGTTTTTTTTTTAATGTGCTTGAGCACATCTTATTCAACACTATGATGGGTCATCTAGAAGACCACAGCATTCTTTGTAACCAACAACACGGTTCTAGAAGAGAGAGGTCATTTGAAACACAACTTCTTAAATTCACAGAAGAGCTGTTTGAAAATATGGTAAGTGCCGTCAGACGGACGTCCCTGTGATGGACTTTGCAAAAGCCTTTGATATCTACTTATCTAACTTTTATATCTACTTATCTAACTTTTATATCTACTACAACATACATTATGCCATTATGGCATCCGTGGAGAGATCAGTGCTTGGATCACAGCCTTCTTCACTGACAGAACCTAAGCGGCAGTGGTAAGCGTTCCGACTTCGTCAGTGTGAAATCGGAGTTCCCACAGGGCTCCCACAGTCTTGGGACCCTCGTTATCAATGCTTTGCCATCTGTCCTGACCTGCTGATTACACTGCTGCGTACAACACCATCATCTCTGCAAAGGACCAGTTAGTGCTTTATCAAGACCTGGAACGGCTTGCTGAATGGGAGCACAAGTGAAGCATGACGTTTAACCCTGGGAAGTGCCAGACCCTTCGTGTCACCCGCATTAGGAGGGTCTTCCAGTACTACTACCAACTCCACGGCCAGACCTTGGAGATGGTCCCTAGCGTTAAGCACTTAGTTGTAACCATCACGAAAGACCTCACCTGGAAAGAGCACATCAAAAACCTGTGCAACAAAACCAATAAGAAGTTGGGATTTTTTCAGACTTGACCCTATCTACACCGGGCTTTTTTGGGATTCGTCGGACGGAGGGGGTGTGCTCAATCGCCCCCCCCTCAAAACTCGAGAACAGTATACTAAACTGAGTATTAGTGACAATAAATCATAACAACAATTTTGTAGGATGTAAGATGTGCTGATCATGCACCCGTCTCTCACGTAGAGGTACCTTGCTGACGAGGATATGTACGACTTTATTACAACACTTTGCGGGATGAACATTTTTATGGCTATCGCCGGACCTTTATCCAGGTCAGTTAGATCCTTCTGGATGTTAGAGGGTGCTGATTTTGGGTGCATGACTTTAAGTAGATTCATGTTGTTGAACAAACTTCTATTGCTTACAGACCGCGTGACGAGTAGCGCCGCCGAGATAAGCAATACATATCAACTGGCCAAGTAGGGTACCCTGAGGTAGGCCACAAGTAACGTTGACACTGTCAGAAATTGTTCCATGGCGCCTGTTTGACAGAAAGGTTACAATTCACCTCACAAAAGGTAGAATCCCAGAAATACATCTAACAGAGGACAAATGGCGGTGGTAAGGCAGTGGCTTTGACAATCTCATTCGTCAAGTCCAGTGAGTGGCAAAACTTTCAGCAACCTTTGCCAGGAGTGACGTCAGAGAGATAGGACGGAGTTCGTGAACCGGTTGTGGTTTTGTCTTGGGTATTCGGTCCGCAGTCCGCCAGGGGGGAGGATTCGAGTTTGTATGCAAATTCCTTTATGACCTTTCCCGGGATCCCGTCAGGTCCGGCTGCTATCCAACTACCTTTAGTTTCCTTTAAACTTCCCAAGGTTCAAAAGACGGTGCAGAATGGACGGGTATTTATGCTGGTAGTGAGATAGATTGGTCTCCTGGAGGGACTGGATAAACGAAAAAACCGATGTAAGTGTTTGATTACCCTCATTAGTTATACCTAGTTCATTGCCGGGGTCCATGCCGTCGATGTGTATGACTGGTTCAGTACGGAACATGTTGGCAATCATTTTTTTTTCTTTCTGAAGTGTTTTGACTTTCGATGTATAGAACTCCTTTAAGTAGCTCTGATCATGCGTTGTGTTTTGTTTTTATGGTGCTTCCAGACTCAGGGTCAATTGTGAGCGCTTAATGGCGTTGTCGAATGAGAGCTTTAATGTCAGGTGTAGTCCAGGGCTGGTCTTGAAGGTAAAAAGCAAAAACGTTTCATGTGACGAAACAGTAGGGAGGTGTGTGTATCACTACATTTCTCAACAGCGTTAGGAGCCGAATAAACTTTTGGCCATTCGTGGGTAGTTATAGACTGACTTAAGGACTGAAGACAAGAGTTCCGTGAAGGTCTGCCAGTTCTTGTTGGGAGCGCGTCTTTCCATGGCTTGTACCGTGATTACGCTGTGGTCACTTGTAGCTAACGGGTCTGGAGTGCCTGGTTCATAGTAGTGAGAGTAGTGGGTTGTTTAATAGCCTCGTTTTTAGGCGTTCCCGGATCAGCCGGGTTTTTTTTTGGGGGGGGGTATTTTTTATCAAACGTAGATCGCACGCAATAGAAGCTCTGGCCGGCAACACTACACATATCTCCGTGGATGTGGGGTTGCCGGCCGGAGCTTCTTTTGCGTGCGATCTACGTTTGATCAGAAAATACCCCCCCCAAAAAAAAAACCCGGCTAATCCGGTAACGCCTGAAAAGGAGGCTAGTTGTTTGAAGACTTGTCACAAGTTGTGGGGGTTTGCTATGGTTGCATACAATGTTCGGTTTAGAAGATCCTCGGCAAGACATCAAATATACCACACACGGCGTGCACTAGAAGGGGTAATGGCGCATTACGTCTGCCGCCTTATAAAGCTTCACAGTCCTTCAATTTCCGAGGACGCCGAGAGTTTATACCATAACTACAACGGTAGTGTATCACGGAAGGAGAGCGGAGGGCTGTGCGATCAGCTCTACGGTTTTTTGTGGACTCTTGTTTTGTCGCAGAGTCCTAGTCACAGAGCGCTAGAGCTCCATTGGGAAAATCGGTGACAACAACCACCATGACACCATTGTATATTGAGCTCCATTAACAGAGGTCTAAATAAAAATCAACGCCAAGCAACGAATTTAATTGAATTGAATTGAATTGTTTTGTCGCAGAGCTCTGCAGAGATATCACCGAGGGCTGTGTTAGCAGCTCCATGGAGGAGCTTTGCACATGGAGACTGCTCTTACAGCGCCTTCCCAAATGTAAAGATTCTTTGAACTTAGAATGTTTTCTTAACAATATTCGACAATATACAATAAAGTTGCTAATAGTTTCATAGTACATGAGTTTTCGCAATATTTCCGAAATGGTGTAAACTATCCTCAGGGTGGTGCGTTATTTCGTCTTATAGCCTGACGATTTCATAACAAACATTTTTTTATTTGTTTTATAAGATTCTTCATAAAATGAAAAAAAAAAATTTATTTCAGTTGACACCTCGCAGCCAATTGGCCAAATTACGTACAACTCACAAAATGTCTCTAACTGAATTACATTCAACTTAAAAGTGTTACACAGTTACAAAAGACAATAGACGACAATGTTGTTTTACCTTACCTGCCTGCGACAAAGAATATAAGATGAAGAAATATGTCCTTCTTTTTTAAATTTTTCATATTTATTGAAGAGTTGTATCTGAAAAAAAAGTCAATACTAGTATATAACGTCACTTAAAGTCCATGTAGTTAAAAGGACAGAAAGCTTGTATAGGATATATTAGATGTTACATGATGTTTGCATCCCTTAGAAAATGGTTGAGGGTAATACACTGTCGACTGGTTTTAAGTAAGAGTTTAAAATTGATTGGGATTTTTTTATAGCTAAAGTGTAGTTATTCCGGGGAATAAAATATAACTTAAACATATTAACAATATATTTTTAAGATACTGTCTAGCTTATTATCATTGCCAGTAGCAGTGCATTTCGTTACTGGGTCAGCGGTATGCCCAATGTTCTGATGCCTGGTAAAGTGGAGGCAGCTGCTGGTTTGTTTAATTGAAGTTTATCTGTGTAACTACACGTCAGTCTGGAGCAAGTTTAAGTTGTGGTTTCAAATGCAATGAATTAAAAATTGTTAAGTTAGTGAACACAGAAAGGTCTTGCCTTGGAAACAGATAAAACCAATAATTAAACCACAAACTTTTAATTAAAATAATTATATATATATA